ATGCCTTTTTATGAGAGAGAGTTGTCCCATGCCATATGAAACAGAAAATGTTGAAGCCAATGCTGAAGAAATTCACTCTAGACCAGGAAGATCTCAAAAATTTTATGGTGGAGGCAAATATTGTTTTTCTAGGCAATTTCCTTGAATTGGTGGTGGCCAACTAGCTCCAGGTGCTCTTAGATAAGACTGATTCTTCTTTGTGGGCTCTGTGCATCACACATGGGACTCTGCACTTGTGTGAAGCCTGTTACTGGGAGAATTTAACAGCTAAGAGCATTTTTGTGGGAATCCCTCCACCCCAATATCCATATAAAATGGAGGGGCCCCACCATTTCCCTCAGTTCTTGTTCAACCATTTTCGGAGCCTTGGGAAATTCTTTCCTATTCTCTCTACTCAGAGCGTTTCTGCTACTTTTTCCTATACAGTGGTACCTCGGCTCACGAATGCCTCAGTTCACAACCAAATCGGGTCGCAAACAGAAATTTAAGAAATAAATTTCCTCAGGTTGTGATCTCCACATCGGGTGACAATCATGGGTGCGCTCACGGGGGGGGGGGGAGGGAACAGGCGCAATCATGGACGCGTTCGGGGGGAGAGATGGCCGCAATCATTCCTGTCCTCCCTGCACGAGCACATCTGCTATCGCACCTGTCTCCCCCCTGAGCACACCTGCGATCATGCCCTTCTCCCCCCCCGAGCGCACCCACGATTGTGACCATCTTCCCTGTGATTAATACACACACACACACACAGAGAGAGAGAGAGAGAGAGAGAGAGAGAGAGAGAGAGAGAGAGAGAATGGATTATCCTTATTTACATTGAACCTTATGGGAAAATTTGAGTTGGCTCACGACCAATTTGGGTCGTGACTAGAGTCATGGAATGGATTAAGTTCGTGAGCCAAGGTACCACTGTATTTTATTTCCTCAATATTTTTCCTCAATGTTCTCTTACCTCTTAACCTTTTGTGAATTTTCTCACAAATTTTAGAATCCCTTACCTTTCAACCCCCCTGCAACAAACAAAGAAGAAATTTTCTGTCTTCCCTGCTTATCTCCATCTTTGACTTGTTCTTACTTGCCTTTCAGCATTTTCCCCCAACAACATTGATGGCTTCTTTTTATCAGTGCATCTGTTGCAATGCCAGGCTGCCCCCAACTGATGGGTGTTCTTTGTGTCTCTTGTGCCTGGGCAAGGGCATGTCATTGATCAATGCCCGCATTGCTAGCTGTTCTCCAGGCAGGTGTGTAAACAGAGGGTCAATAGTCTCCACACGGATTTGGAAGGGACCAAGAAGGCCATAGTGTCCAGCTCTCTGCTTGTGCAGGTCACCAGTTTATACCATCTTACTCAGATGACAGTCTATCTATGTGAAATGGCTGAGTGGGGTCATCTGGAGTTTTGGAGTATGATGCCATCAGGATGCTGATGACACACAGCTCTTTTTCTCCTTTTCATTTTCAATAGGTGAGGCTGTGGATATGCTAAACTGGTGCCTTGCTGTGACAATGAACTGGATGAGAATAATAAACCGAAGGACAAGCAAGACCAGATGGGGTGGGTGTTGTTAGTGGGCAGTTTCTCTGAAGGGTATTTAGCCTGTTCTGGATGGGGCTGTACTCTCCTTGAAGGAACAGATGCATATTTTGGGGTTTTCCTTGAGCCATCTTTGTCATTTAAAGCTTAGGTGGTGCTGAGAACAGGTGTCTCCCCCACTCTTCTCTCTCCAGCATACTTAGATGAGATATTAAGAAGCACCATCCTTTACAAGAGCTTAACAGGTTGCAAAACATCTTAGATCAAAATAATGTGAGAGAAGCATCTGTCCATGAGAAGTGTTGAATCCAAACTTAAACATCATCTTTCCTGAAAAAAAAAATACTTTATCTCAGGGTATCTCCTGCCCCTTGAGGCCTACATTTGGTGAGAATGGACACATCTTAATTGGTTCACTTACTTCTCTTGTTGCCTTCTTACAAGATCAAGGAATTCCCTCTCAATCTCCTCCACTGAATAATGAAATTTCTCCCATCTTGTCAAAATTGGGCTGCTGCTATATAATATACTGATTAAATGCCTTGTTATAGAGGACAAGCTTAACCCAGCACTGCAAGACTGACAGAGCATACCAGAATGCCATATGGGCAGCTAAAACATAGAAACAGAGCGAGTCAGAAGGGACCTCCCAGGCCATCTAGTCTGACCTCCGGCACCAGCCGGCTCCGCTCATGACATGGCCACCATGTGCATGTCTTTGAACACCCACACCAATGGGGCGTCAGTGACCTCTCGTGGAAGCCCATTCCACACCCTTGGGGTCCTAACTGTCAGGAAGTGCTTCCTGGCATCTAAATGGAACCTTGGCTCCCTGAGCTTTGCTCGGTTGGAGTGCGTCCTGCCTTCCTCTGCAGGGGAGAACAGGTCTCTACCTATCTCCATGTGACATCCCCTCTCATATCTGTATGTCGCCAACATATCCCCTCTGAGTCTCCTCTTCTTCAGGCTGAAGAGACCCAGTTCCTTCAGTCTCGCCTCATACCCCATCCCCTGCAAACTGGCGGCCACCAACCTTGTGGCCCTACACTGCACTGACTCTAGCCTGGCTATATCCTTTCTGTAATGAGGGGCCCAAAACTGAGCACAATACTCCAGTTGCGGGCGCACCAGAGTTGTATATAGTGGTAGTAATACTTCTCTTGATCTAGAAGCCACACTTCTGGCTATGCAACCAAGGGTGGCGTTCGCCCTCTTGACCACCGCATCACACTGCTGACTCATGTTTAGCCTGTAGTCAACCAGTACCCCGAGGTCCCTTTCACAAGTGCTGCTTTCCTGCCACTTGTCACCTAACCTGTACTTATGACAGCTATTCTTATGCCCCAAGTGCAAGTCCTTGCACTTATCCACATTGAACGCCATCCTGTTGTCTCCTGCCCACTTCCATAGTCTGTCCAGATCCTTTTGGATCTGGACAGACTATGGAAGTG